AGTTGTTAATGTTGGCCATGCCTTCAAATCCCCAGAGATTTTGACTAAATTGGTTGTAGGTGAAAGGTATCATTATTACTTTTTTTTTTTTTTTTTTAAAGCTCTTCAAGTGATTCAGTGTACATCCTGGGTGGAGAACAGTGCATTAGATGAGTTAGGGAAATCCAAGGGCCTTTCACTCAGGGCGGGAGAGGGAAGCATGGTGACTCTCCGCGTCCTTTATACTTTCTCCATGGACATGACCATTCCGTTTCATACTTAACATCCAGAGGGACTTGCCAAGTCCCACCTTCTGACTAAGTCTTGCTTAATTTTGGGTGCTGAATCTTGTCTTGTGCTCTTCCTGCTACCTTGTACTTAAAAGTTCATATTTCCTCTGGTTTCCTAGCTTGTGGCTGCGTAAGACTCAGACAGCAATTCACCTTTTCTTCTTCACCTGCAACTCTAGGCCAGCTGCTCTTCTAGCCGAGGGGAGACGGATTATAATTCCTACTATTCTAGACATACAGGCTCCTGAAACATTGTTTGCATTTTACTCTTCATAGTGTGTGCCTTCCAATTCAAGATGTTTGAAACCTCTCTACCTAGCTCCCTGTGTAGGCTCTGAAATGTGTATGGGTGTGGCATGCCCCAGTTTTACATCTCAAAGTAACTTAGAATAAGCATAGAGTTATACACTAGCTTCCTATTGCTGCCATAGCAAATTACCTATGCCTTAGGTAAGTCAAAAGACAAATTAATAATCAGGGTACTGGGGCACAGCCTAGAATCCAGGGACAGAAACTCATTCAGTCCTCAGGTAACTAACATAAATAGGAAAAGTCACTGGGACTTGGCATCCTTCATCTTTATTCCACCCTGCGTGTCTGTTTTGCTCTCTGTTTTTGCTGACACGTTTTCTCTTCTGGGTGCTTAGTAGGATAGGGCTCTCTTCCTATATTGCATGTGGCAGGTCTAGCCATACTCAGTTCATGTGGCTCTGGAATAGAGAATCTGACTGTTTCAGCTTTGTTCAGGGACCCACGTATCACTGGTGATGGCCTGGTGTTAATAGCACTGAGCATCGACCTCTAGGGGCTTGGGCCTATGCACGAGGAAGGGGAAAAGACTGGATAGACAACCAAATAGTGTCAGCTCTCACTGGGCGTGCACAAAGAAGTTGTGATTTTGCTTCTGTGTGAGGCATAGCGGTATCACATAGAGCCAGTTTTTCCTCAGCCTGGGTGTAATAGGTGATGAGGTTTTAGACCCCCGATTTCATCATCTAGCTCACCTCTTCTGATAATAGTTAGTATTACTGAATATTCACTGTATGTGCAGGACCAGGCTTGTCCTTAGATTGTTCCACTTAATACTGATGACATTATAGGCAGATACCCTCCATTCATATGTTGTAATTCTAACCCCCAATGTGGTGATATTAGCAGGTGGGGGCCTTTGGGAAGTAATCATTAGGGTGGAGCCCTCATGAATAGAATTTGGTGCCCTTATAAAAGAGACATGAGAGCTTGTTCTCTCTGTCACGTGGGGACACCATGGGAAGACTGCCATCTGCAGGCATCTCACAAATCTCATAGTCTGTACAGAAGGTACTTAAAGCTTTTGATAAGCTCCTATTTTGCCCAGTTAATGTTCCTGTTTGTATGTAAAATATTAAAATTGTAAGTCTTAATTCTAAAAGTGAGATCCTGGTTGTTTGCAGTCCTGGCAAAACAGTATCAATATAGTATACTTCAATTTCTTTTCAAAATTATTAGAATATTTCTGCTGGTGAGGCAATTGGATGCCTATTTTGCTTAATGAACAATAAGCACGTTGTCCGTTTCTTATACTCTTTGCTTACAATGTTAGACAAACAAGTCACTTAGGCACTTTAAAAAACTCGTTGTTGTTCTCTATCCAGTGATTTCTGATTTCTCCAAGGGGAACCTAACAGTAAGTATATCTCTGTTTTGTGGTAGCTAGGGCAGCTAAGGCTATATATTTTTCAAGTCTTGTAAGGGGGGAAGAAAGAAACATCTTTTTCAAAAAGCAAGTTGAAAAGTTTAAAGGTCCAGCTTCATTGCCAAATAGTGAATTACCTCTGTTTTCTTCAGGCGAGTTTATCCTCTAACTGAGTGAAAGGAGGATACATATTGCTTACCCCTAGTAACTACCTTGCCTATGTATTATAATCATGATGCTCTGAACCACTAATATGGTCAGGGATCCATTTGGATGTCAGTGGCTCTGAAATGTGTATGGGTGTGGCATGCCCCAGTTTTACATCTCAAAGTAACTTAGAATAAGCATAGAGTTATACACTAGTTTCCTATTGCTGCCATAGCAAATTACCTATGCCTTAGTGCCTTAAAATGACAAAAATCTATTATCTTATGGTTTTGGAGGTCAAAAATCCAACATGTCACAAATCCAAAACTTATTTCATGGCCTTTTCCAACTTCGAGAAGCTGCCTGCATTCCTTGGCACATGGCCCCCTTTTTCCATCTTGAAAGCCAGCAAGATCCAGCTCTCTGATCATTCTTCTGTTCATAACCTCTGATCACAGTTGGGAACAATTCTCTGCTTATAAGAATTCATATAATTAGATTGGGCCCACCTGGGTAATCCAGGCTACTCTCCCCATGTTAAGGTCCTTAACCTTAATCACATCTGCCAAGTCCCTTTTGCCATGTCGGGTGATACCTCACAGGTCTGGGGATTAGGATGTGGGCAGCCATTGAGGGGAGGGCAGACACTGTTCTACACACTACAGAATAGGTTAAGAGAACAGAATTATTAGATAAAATGTGCACATTTTTGGTAGGACTTTTTCCCCACATAAATCATCTTTTTCAATTCCCACCATGGGAGGTTACTTGTATTTTCATTTTACTTTATTTTTTATTATTCCACTTCATGTGAAATTGAAGCTCATAAAATTATCATTAGTCATGCTTCTAGTTTTGGGGAGAGCCAACGACTCAGTTGGGCTCTCTGATTCAAGAGTCTTTTCTCCTATGGCTATTGCAGATGGTTTACAAGGTCGCATACAGAAAGGGGGTGTCCTACAAAATTACACCTAGTGCCTGGTTCAGAAAACCTCTAGGAATGTGGGCTATTTGTTCAGGTCCTTAAAAGATTACTTTTAGTGAGAATCAGAACAAATGTTCTCTCTGACTTAGAAAACTGTGAGTAAAATCTGCAGACAAGACAGGGCAGAGTTTGCATTTGGATAAAAATTTAGAACACAGATAATTGAATCTGATTTTTTTTAACCTACATATTTATTATAGGGCTGCTCACCAATTCAGAAGAAAAATAGTGGGGGCACCTGGGTGGCTCAGTTGTTAAGCGTCTGCCTTCGGCTCAGGTCATGATCTCAGGGTCCTGGGATCGAGCCCCACCTCGGGCTCCCTGCTCGGCGGGAGACCTGCTTCTCCCTCTCCCTCTCCCACTCCCACTCCCCCTGCTTGTGTTCCCTCTCTCGCAGTGCCTCTCTCAATCAAATAAATAAATAAAATAAAATAAAAAGAAAAATAGTGAAGAGTTCACATAAATTATTGTAAAGATCAGTGCTTCTCAAACTTTGGAATGCATCTGAATCATCTAGGTAGCCAGGCTTCACCCCCAACGGTACTGACTCAATAGGTCTGGGTAAATTTGCATTTCTAAAATATTCTCAGGTGATCTTTTAGGTTCCTGTTCTGGGACCACACTTTGAAAACCACTGGAGAGGGGCACCTGGGTGGCTCAGTCGTTAAGCATCTGCCTTCAGCTCAGGTCATGATCCTGGGGTCCTGGGATCGAGCCCCGCATCGGGCTCCATGCTCCTTGGGAAGCCTGCTTCTCCTTCTCCCACTCCCCCTGCTTGTGTTCCCTCTCGCTGTCTCTGTCAATAAATAAAATCTTTAAAAAGAAAAAAAAAAAAAGAAAACCACTGGAGAAGACTTCATTTATATGGGCAAACTCCATATTTCAGGGATGGAAACCAGGTGCTCCTGACTGGCTCTTCTGCAATCTGCTGGTCTTCTTTACATGGCAAATTAGAAACACCGTTGGCTCTCTTACAGGCCAGACCTGAAAGGGAAAGGGAAGAGAAATGTTTATGCCTGCCAGACTCTCTCTTTAGGTGGAGAAGTAAAAGGGAATGGGGCTTGGATATAAACTGTTGTAAAATATACTTGGAGAACCTCTGCTCTGTATCTTGAAGGAAACTGCTTAATACCTGCTCCTTGAATAATTTTCCCCAACAGTTTTATATAAAGAACATTTATGTGGATTGAGTGTACAGCAAAGTTTAAGAACCAGTGGTCCAGGAGTTTTCTGTGGTCTGGGAGTTTCCATTTTCACCGTCATCGTCTTCAACTTCAAAACCTGGTTGTGATTCTTATCTTTACTCTGCCAGGGTTACATCATAAATCGTGATCATTACATTTATGAGAAAGCCTCCAAATTGACTGGAATTCTTTGTCCTCTAGTCTCAGGCATTGGCCTTATGCTTCCTAAATTACCCCTGATGTAGAGGGACTCTGGCTCAGACACTCAGAATCCCTGGGCTAGATCGCTCCTGGCTCTCTGGACACAGCCTCAGTCAAGCTATTGTCAAAGTGTAGTCCTTCCTCTCCCCTAAATAGTTTTCCTTGTGCCTTTCATGATAGAATCTGGAAATAACACTCCCATGTGATTTAGGTATGATCTATGTGAATATTTTACTGCAGATTTTGTTATTTTATCCACATTGGCTAGTACCTAGAGTTGCTGCTAACACTAGGTGCTCATGGAACTATTGGTAGTAACTGCCACAGGCTAAGTAGTAATTGTGATTGAAAAGGTTCATAATTATGTCATTTGAGTGGTTCTGGCTTCCATTAAATGATCATGAAACCAGGCATTTTGATGGACAACTCACAAAGCTGCATAGGTGAGACTAAACCTCATGCGCAGTGCACTCACCTCTGGAGCCATGTTCTTGAGGACCTTCTTGTATTCCCAGTGTTATCAACAGAACAATCATGGGGCCAGTCCACATCTAGTTTTCTAACCATCAGTTTAGCTAATTAGAACAGTTGGCTCCCTAGGGTTATGTTATGAAATTTCCAAAGGCCTTTTCTTAAAGGCATTTTGTCTAATGAAAACTCAAATGTAGAAAACATAGTGGTCATTCTGAAAATTTAGCACTAGCTATTTATTTTCATTACAAAAATGACAAAAATGCAACGCTAGTGGAGAAACTTTACATACATTTTTCATTATTTTTATTATAAAACTGACCTGGATATAAAATAGGTTGTTGCTTTTTCTGATGTGATCTTTAACAAGAAGAGCAGAATAGCAGACGATTGTGGAGTATAACTATAGAACATTATATGATTGAATGAGTGAAATGTCATAAAATTATCAGTACTGGGTAGAAGTCTTACCACCCATTAAATTGAAAAATGAGGAAGCAAGACTTCTGCTGCCACACACTTTGGTAAAGAGTCCGGTTTTCTTGATATGAAAATAAAATACCCATTCCATTCTCCTTTGAGCTATATCTTTGAAATATTACTAACTTCCATGGCAGAGGTTGCTTAATCTGCAAATTTATCAGGTAGCAAACCATTATGATTGCTAATAACCCTTACTCACTTTACCCAGAGAACTGCTGCTTCTACCATTCCTTAACAAATGGAGTACAGCATAGTAGGCGTACTGAAGCCGATTAAATTTTCACACATCATTAGTTCCCACCTCCCTTAGAGTTTTAGTTATATATTATTTCCTTTATCTGATTTTCTCCATGAAGACATTTTCTTTTTACTGTGGACAAATACTGAGTGAAATTTCATGCAGTTTAGTGTAATTCTTTTCTGTCATTTTATTTTAAAAATATTTAAAGTATTGGCTCCAAGTGGGTATGTGAAAATGTGGTGACTCAGTCTGTTTGATAACAATGTTTTAAAAGTAAAAATAATCTGTGTTGGCTGTGTGAATGGTGCCAAATGGACTATATTGTAAGTAACTTAAAATCAGCAGCCAAAAGAAAAATCTTTTAGTTTGACTGTCATGAATTGTAATTATATTGCACCACTTTTCTTTTTTTTTTTTATTTATACATGAGAGACAGAGAGAGAGAGGCAGAGGCAGAGGGAGAAGCAGGCTCCCAAGGAGCAGAGAGCCCGATGCGGGACTCGATCCCAGGACCCTGGGATCATGACCTGAGCTGAAGGCAGACGCTTAACGACTGAGCCACCCAGGCGCCCTACTGCACCACTTTTCAACAGGATCGTTTTTCAGGGGTGACTTTAACTATGAAAATATTTACTTTTTTTTTTTAAATACTTTTAAATTATCCATTCATTAATTGTCTCAAGGTCATTTATTTAACTTTTGGTATGCAGTGTTTTGGCACTTATAACCAAAGTCTGCTGAATTAGGTAAAAGTATTTTCAGGGCATGGCATTTAAACAAAATAGTAGGCTTGCTTTCCGGCTTCTAATGATTTACTGTTTCTTTCATAGATTTCCAGAGGAGAAGGCAACCTCTCAATTAACAATTAGTATTCTGCCTTTGGCAAAATATAATACAGACAGACTTGCTAATCACATTCACTGAGCTCCCAGAAGTTCTTTCCAATGAAAGTGTTTAAATACGAGTGAATACCAGACATGTCTCAAGCCACAAATAAGCCTTTTCAGATCAAAGCTTGAACTAGGTGTCAGGATATGTATTGTGAAGATCAGCAGAACTATTTCTCAGCAGGTTAGGAAAATAAAGTCTGAGTTTTCATAACACCTACAGTAGCATAAATGGGTGACTGGCTTATAATCTCTGGATAATCAAATTTTTAATGATTAAAGAATATTGTAAATGCCTATAAGCAAATGGGAATGAATAATTCCTTAAAGTAACATTTATAAAACTTAAGTCCAACATGTAAAGAGTTTGGAAGTCTTAACTCCCATTCTTGCAATGAGAAAAAAAGCTGGACAAACTAAAAATTAACAACCCTATGGATTCATCAGATCACAAGGCAAACTGCTGACCCTAAAATTGAAGAGACAGGCAAACACAAAGAATCATAGTTTACCTGAAGGTGAAGCCATTCATGCAACTTGGTAAGAACATTTAGGATAATTAACTAATTGTTGGACACTGAGCATGAACTAGCTTGAGAGAGAGAAACATTTGTGAGTACAAACACAGGAAGGCTCCCACACTTTCCTGGATTTTACCTCCAGGATCCCCAACTTGTTCTTAGGAAGGTAGCCTGGAGTAAAATTTCCTCCATATTTACAGCAGAGAGAAGGGAAAGGTAATATTCTTGAAATAAGCTTAGAGCTTTTGTTCTCTAACAAAAGGCCTATCCTCAAGGGAAACTCTTTTTACCAGGGTCTGATTTGGATTCTACCAAAACCTAACCTTGTTTTGGGAAGGGAAATACCTAAATTCAGCCCCCTCTAGGCTTCCTGTCTCACCTCAGGGGGATGAAAAACATAAACCCAAACTGAGAAGCACTTGTGAAGGTCATAGTCCAGGGACATAGTCTCAGTAATGATAAGAATAGAGACTTCCCCCTCACCCCACACATACCTACCATCACATCATTGGGGCTCCTCTAAAACGATAGGGAATTACAGCTCAAATAACTCAGCCCTTATTTAAGAAGGAATCTCTAGGGAAGCCCAAAGACAACAAAGGAAACAAAACCAGGGACACTAGAGGAAACTTGCCTGTGACACTACCACTGAAGCAAGGAGCAAACACAGCCTCTTAGCCACATAAGCATAAAACCTTATACTAAAGGATTATTTACTTCCATTCCTTTTACCTAATAAATCATATTTGGCTTTCAACAGAAAATTATAAGGCAGGCTAAAAAGCAAAAAAAAAAAAAAAAAATACAGTCTAAAGAGACAAAGCAAGTATCAGAACCAGGCTTAGATATGGCTGAGATTTTGGAATGACCAGACTGGGAATTTAAAATAACTGATAAATATGCTAAGGGTCCTAATGGAAAAAGTGGGCAACATACAAGAATGGATGGATAACTTAAGCAGAGAGGTGAAAACTCTAAGAGAATCAAAAGGAAATGCTAGAAATCAGAAAACATTAACAGAAATGAAGACTATCTTGAGTGGGCTCATCAGTAGATTGTAAAGAATCTTAAAGATATGTCAATAAAAAGTTGACCTGAAAAGAAAAAAAAAATGAAAAAGAAAAGCTGAATGCCTCTTACACTAAAAAATAATAGTGTCCATCCTGTGTAATATGCATGCTTATGGGAGTTGATTACTTAAAACTGTAATATCCATACAGTTTTGGAGTCTGCTTCATTTATCCAACGTGATGTTTTTTTCAGAAAATAATTATATGCCATTATTTATTAGATTATTAAAGTCTGTCATCTCTCACCTCCAGGCTGTTATGCGTCCTCAGTCTTAATACCAACACTTCCTTCAACAACATCTACAAGGGAGCATGTGAATCTTTACATCCATCATACTCTTCAGTAAAAAAAAAAAAATGGGAGTATCTTATCAGTTTTTTTTTTTACTGACGAGTATGATGGATGTAAAGATTCACACGCTCCCATGTTGAATTAGGTAATTGCTTATAGAAACAAATACTTCTTATTTTTAAATTTCACATATACATTATCCCCCAGTATGGGACTGTGTCTGCATATGGTTATTAGAGACAAATTGAGAATCTCAACAGAAATGCTGAATATTAACATGCCACTCCTGGAACACTCTGCTTTCAGTATTTAGTTTTTTGTCAACAATGAATTTAGCAAGCATTTTCCAGAAAGGAATGAAAACGACAAAGTTCCAGGCAAATTGCAGAAGCTTTCTATTAGTAATGAAAGAAAAATAAGAAATTATAATGTTGAAAGTGGTAGAATATTCAACTGCAATAATATTTACAAGAAGAGTACATTGAAATATTTAAATTTCACTAAGGTTGTGGACCAATTGAAGTAATGTTTGAAAAATGTTAAAAGAAAAAATTTTATAAAAGTGAACTAGCTCTCCCTGATTTATTTGTATTTTTTTTGCCTCTTTTTTAAAATTTTTTTTAAAGATTTTATTTATTTATTTGACAGAGAAAGACACAGTGAGAGAGGGAACACAAACGGGGAGTGGGAGAGGGAGAAGCAGACTCCCCGCCGAGCAGGGAGCCCGATGCGGGACTCGATCCCGGGACTCCAGGATCATGACCTGAGCCAAAGGCAGTCGCCTAACCAACTGAGCCACCCAGGCGCCCGATTTATTTGTATTTTATGGTTAGTTAGAATGTTTGGGGAGAGAAAAAGACACAAAAAGGAAATAGTAAGTGTTCTTTCAGAGGAATTAACCCAGATTTTCAAG